CACTCACGTTGGTCATACAGCTTCCCTGATGAACATAAAAGGCAACACTTTTCTATTATTGTGCTTTGGTTGACACACTGCCTCTGCAACATGAATAGATTTCTTCTATTTAGTGAAACATTATGTTAATGATTGGACAGAGTAATTAATAACAAATCAGATTAAATTTTCATGTCTCTATACAAGCCAAAGAGAAATTATCCCCATTAACCTGATCAGCACAAACTGTCATACTAGATTAGAAGAGCTCCAGTTTCAATTTATACTTTAACCTCCACCATTTTGGCAGATGCCTTGCTGTTACCTCAGCGGCTCCTCAGGAGAGAAGGAGAGGAAACAGGGGATGGATAAGTCAGGGGCTGAAAGAAGGAAAATGGGCTTCAGCCTTGGCCTGAAAGAAGCTTGCCAACAGTACCAGTAACCCATCCACATTAGCATTTCTATATAAAGGAACCAGGCTAGGAAGTGGGGGAAGACTGGATGGTTCTTAGAGCAGTGATACTAATTGAGAAAAGTTATAATTGTGTTCCAGAGCAGTATATCTAGAAGTAGAAATCCAGAGAGAGGGCCTAGAGACAGATTTCAGGACCTTAGGAACAGAGGACTGCCAAGAATTAGACAGGTATCAGGAACCCAGTCAATTGAATTGGGGTTTTGAGGGCATGCTGGCAGGGGCTCCAAGATTTCTAAACTTTTTTTTAAGATTTTATTTATTTATTTGACAGACATAGAGTGAGAGAGCACAAGCAGGGGGAGCAGCAGAGGGAGAGGGAGAACCAGGTTCTCCGCTGATCAGGAAGCCCGATGCAGGGCTCAATACCAGGACTCTGAGATGGTGACCTGAGCCCAAGGCACATGCTTAACTGACTGAGCCACCCAGGCACCCCAGATTTCTAAACTTTAACATCTTCTTTCTTCTTCCTCTCAAGCTCTTCAGGCTCCTCAAATTTACCTTCTATGTCCAGCTTCACCTGTAGTGCAAGATCATTGCTGGCATAAAAATGAATGAAGACGCAAAGTCTGGGGACATGGTGTCTGGTCTCACTATTCTTCCAGCTGATCAAGATTGGAGTTTAATAAAGCTGATATCAAACTGTATTTCACACTACTACTAAAGTAATAGGGATTGTGTGACAAACCCATCAGAATTTATACATCCAAATGAGACTTATCCCCTTCACAGAAGTCCACTCTTGACACTAAAAACAAAATCACTGGAACTTCCTTTTTGAGTATTTACTTTATAATCTTAGACACATTTTTTTTATTTCCTCAGCTGAGGTTAACTTTTTCATCTTTTGAGGATGCATTTGCATTCTACAAGTGGTGAAAATTTTTCTGAGCTTGGTGATAAATGACTCTGGAGTCTAAGCTGAGTAGTACCATTCAAGTAAGTTAGATCCAGACAAACAGGCAGGGCTTACATAAGCCCTAAGTGGGGCCTAAGCATTATGGAGCTAGCTCAAGCAGGTGACCAAAGTGTCAGGGAGCCCTGATAGTGGCAATAGTGTCAAGGCAAGAAATAGGTAGAAAGTATCCAGGAATCCCAAGAACAGATAGAAGTATAGTATTAAAGTAAGGATTAGAAGGGCCTGACGAGAGGCAAATCAGAACACCACTTTCACAGGGAATGCATTATCAGTTGGGAAACCAAAGAAGAGATTTGGATTCTAGAAGAGAGTTACAGGAAATGAAGTAGGACCCCAAGTAAGTTTATGGGATGACAAAGTCAGAGAAAACCTGAGTTTCTAGGATTTCCCCTGTGCAAAACTAGGGTTGTTCCAAGAACCAAGGACAGAGTTCAAACCACAGGAATTTTTGAATGCCCTCAGCACAACTAAAATTGCGAAAGTGATTTACCAACTATGGCCCTGTTGTGGCTAAAAAGCCAATCACAGGGACGCTTGGATGGCTCAGTAGGTTGAGCGTCTGCCTTCAGCTCAGGTCATGATCCCGGAGTCCTGGGATTGAGTCCCACATCCACATCGGGCTCCGTGCTCTGCAGGGAGTCTGCTTCTCTCTCCCCCTGCTTGTGCTCTCTCTGACAAATAAATAAATAAAATTTTAAAAAAGAAAAAGCCAATCACAGAATTCCTCCAGTGCTTTAAAATTCTTATCCTATTAGCCTGATGGACTGCCTTTGAGAAGTGAATTCTACATGGATCGTATCATTGCTAGCAGAACAACACGAGCCCATTATCCTCATTCATAGTCAGATTCTGCACCCATCTTAGGGACTCTGGCATGCTACAGTTTGCCTCTGAAGATTCCATCATTTGTTTCTTGGTCATATTAGAAAGCCCATTTTCTACCCTGGTTACTATTCTGCTTGAGAACACCTTGTTTTGTCAAGTTTCCCTTAAAAGTTCAAAACAAATGTCAAGTCCTTCCTGTTTTCATTCATCACTCAAAATGCATTGACTTCGCAGAAACTTTGCTTGTGTTTAGGGTTTCTTCCAGAACAAGCTAGCTTCTTCCTCCAAATTGGATTCTTCAGCCATCATTCTCACACTTGCAAGGCATTAATACATTTAATGAAGCAAATCTCTTACCTTTTCAATACTTCCATCAATCCTGTGGATGATGAGATGACCAATTCATGCATCATCAAGGACACTGTTCCTAAACCTTTCCTGGCAGTCCCAAATCCTGCTCATGATATTATTCGGCCCCTCATAAGTATCTCTTAACACATAAAGTATCTCACTTGCAAATTCATTTCACACAACATTTGATATTGATCCTTTGCTCTAAACAATAGCCACTCGTTTTTTCAGGGACATGAAAGTAGCATGCACTGCACTGCTGATGCTAGCTAGTGGAGATTGATTGGTTGATGTTGCCAATTTTGCTCCTGAAAGTTAAACATGTTGCCAGTCTGACCTTGGTCCCAGTTCCAAATGTTGAGTAACAACTTCTCTTTGGGTTGTATAGACCTGGCCTCAAGGACGATTGTTTTAGAAATCAAGACACTTATATTGTCCACTTATATTGTCCTTTCTCTTTCATATATTTTGTAATCATCATCCTAGCCAGGACTAGATGAAGGTCATTGCCTCATGGGTTTGGAGGGATATAAGTAGGGTTTGGGAGGGTCCCTTGACATGAGTCTCAGCTTAGTTAATGACATATACCTGTTATAGTACCCTACAGTATTTGTTTTATCCCATCTCTTAAGAAGCTACAGCATATGGTAGTGGTTAAAATAGTAAGCTGTGGAGTTAGAACTGGGTTTGAAACCCAATTTGACCACTCACTAACTTGGTCAAGTGAATCACTTTCACAAAACTGCTGTTTCCTTATTTACACAATGGAAATGACATCTACCTGCAAAGTTCATGAGGCCTAGATGAAATAACACAGGCAAAAAACTTAGCATGATACCTAGCATATATTGAGCTACCTCTATTAGTTAGTGGGAAGACCAATTTAACTTAGTAAAAACTCAGAATATCTTTCAAAACTATAAGGTAATTCCTCCACTAATATTGACTCTTCCTGCTTAGAAATTTCCTTCAACCCTTTGAAGGCACCTGGGTGGCTGTCATTTAAGTGGCCGACTCTTGATTTTGGCTCAGGTCATGATCTCAGGTTGTGAGATCGAGCCCCGAGTTAGGCTCCACACTGGGCATGGAGCCTGCTTAAGATTCTCTCTCTCCTTCTCCCTCTGCCCTTCCACCCCTGTGCGTGCTCTCTCTCTCAGAAAGAAAGAAAGAAAGAAAGAAAGAAAGAAAGAAAGAAAGAAAGAAAGAAAGAAAGAAAGAAAAATTTCCTTCACAGAGTTAATTTCAGAAACACATTCTATTCCCGTCATGCTTCAAGAGAAGGCTGTGACTCAGGCTTGTGGGACATATTTCTGTCTTCCTGAGATATGACCACCACCAATTATTCTTGAGCTAAAGACACTCTGGACCTTTAACTTCCCCTGCTAACATGGCCTTGGTTCTCTCTTTTTTTCAGCTGCCACTTTGACTACCCAAGGACTGAGAGCTTCCATGAATTCTCTATGTTTCTATGTACCAGGCTGACTTTATGCAAATGAACTTTCTTGTCAATGGATTGATTGAGGTATTATTCTTTGCTATTGTTCCTTCCAAATATGTACAGTGAATTGTATTACGGAATAGATCGCTTAATGGGATCCATATTAATAGAAAAGTATAGTCAAGTTTCACATGTAAATGAAACATGCATTAATTACCCTTATGATTCTGTTTAAGGTATTAATTTACCAAACACATCCTTTCTTTTTGTAACATTTACATTATGTGTATTAACCCCAACTATGATGATATATCACTTACCTGAAAGTTCTCTTCCTGGAAATCGTAATTGTCTAGTACTCTCAGAGCTAAAAAACTAAGACTTAACCTTTAAAAATCTTAGAGCAGACAGAAGAGATGATATAAAATCTATACACCAAAACTCATGCAGAGTACTTACAGAAAAACTCCTAAGGCTCTCAATCTTACTTTATACACAATTGTAACTCGGCTTGGTTTCTGAGTTCAGAATAGAATTGAAAATGTCAAAGGGCTACTGGAGGCATAAACAACATTATCAGCAAGCAAAGACTTTGGAAAGAAGACAGGATAGTTCTTAAAAAAAATGGACAGCCTGGGGCCATTTATTGGATGATTAAACAGTCTGATCCACCTCAACATAACTCCTAAGGACACCCCTTACATCCCAGCCCAACTCAATGATTAGTGTCTGTAAAGATGGCTGGAATCAACCTGAAAAGGGCAAATTATGTCAGGTTCACTTGGCATGAAAAGACAGAGACCTATCTATTTGAAACAATTACAAAGAAAAGGACTTGGATACTGCAAGGACACTTGTATTATTTGGACATGCACTTGCAAACATTTCCTTCCTGGCCAATGCCAAACAGATCAGATGTTAATGTATCTGCCAACCAAGGCATGTCACACTAGGTTCTGCCAGGCTGGTTTCAATAAACAGATAGGGTTTGTGGTAAGCACATTGTGTGTATGTAAGTGAAACAGATGCTTGTGAAACAGTCTGAAACAGTCTCTCTCCCCTCCCTGAAGTGGAACACTTGTGATTACCACCAGCCTAGAAGGTGTCGGAGTTATTTACAACTTTGAGCTCATGAGGTGGCTGTTTTGCTGCAGGTATGTGGGGGGTGAGGGGCGGGGAGGATGGGATTGTTCTCCAGGAATGAGCCCTGAAGCTCTGGAGAGTTTAACACTGCCCTTTAGACAAAAACTATGGCTTGGGGCTGGCCATTTTGCCACACCACATTCCAGAAGAAATATGCCTTAGCAAGAAAGGAAGATATTGATAAGCAAAAGTTATTTTTCCAGGTTTCTGATGAAGTCAGGGAAATTTCTCTCACCTTGTTACCAATAATAAACATGTGAGGGTGGGGGCAGGGGGGAAATGCAAAATAATGGCCTCCCAAGGAGCTGTTTTGCACTTGCTTTTAATAACTCCCCCTGAGCCTATCTCCCAGAGAAGTTCTTTATAGTTAAAATGCCTTCTTCAACTAAGTCAGGTGCGACCAATTAAAACTACCAACTCTGCTGTGAATGAGGTTCTAACTCCTTAATCCCAACTATTAGTGTGCAAAAAAGGAATGAAAATGACGAAAGAAGCAAGCTATTGGCTGTAAAAAAAGGAGCCACTTACAAACCTTGCTGCAAGGAGGGAATAGGTTGCTTCTAAGTAACTGTACTGTGTCTGTATCTATAATACGGCTTGTGTGTGCATCTTATATAGACATATGAAATATGGTGTGTGTATATATTCATAGGTAATATGAGTATCTGTGTAAATAGGGTACTTAATACTGGGACTGTTTAGTGGAGGGATAGAGTCCAGTACACTTCAGCATAGCTCCTAATAACACCCTATGTCTCAGCCAGCCCCCAATAATGAGTGTCCATAAAGATGGCTTGAAATCATCCAGAAAAAGTTAAATTGTATCAGATTCAGTTGGTATAAGAAGGCAGAAAACCATCTGTTTGAAATGATTACAATGAAAGAGACTTTGTTCCCTTCAAAGGATACTTCTATTATTTGGGACATGCACTTTAAAGAGCACCTCTTTCCCTGCCAATTGCAAACACATCAGGCGTTACAATATCTGCCAACGAAAGCATGTCACACTAGGTTCTGCCAGTGTGGTCATGGGTCTGTGTCAGTATTTTGTGTCTATGGGTTGTGTGTGTGTGTGCTGGCTCAAGTTGGGTGTGTTTGTGCATGTAGGAATGGGTGGATATGAGGGGGTGTACTTTTTTGTTTTTGAGGGGATGTACTTTTTTTTTCCCCAAAGATTTTATTTATTTGACAGAGAAAGACACAGTGAGAGGGGAACACAAGCAGGGGGAGTGAGAGAGGGAGGAGCAGGGAGCCCAATGTGGGACTCGATCCCAGGACCCTGGAATCATGACCTGAGCCGAAGGTGCCCCAAGGGGATGTACTTTTTAAAAGAGTTCAATCTAGTACACATGGTTTCTGCTCAGCATCTTGCCTTGACTGTTATTCTTTCTAATTTCCTGTTCTGATGCCCTAGTTTGCATTTTTCAATGGGGATCCCATGGGTCACGTTTGGCCCAGTTGGAGATTGCTCAGATTATCTGACCCTGCCCACCTGTTGAGCCAGCAACCCCATTGCCACATCCTGTAGCCTCAACTGCATCCTCTTGCCAAAGCTGCCACCTGTTCTTTGGTCCATTCTGGCCAGAGCTACTTCCTTAAAACTGACCTAATGACCCTGCTTAAGCACTAGTCCTGGCAGAACCAGGGGCAGAAGCAAGGTGACAAGGTTGGACTGCAGGATTTTGCACAATGTAAACCAGGCTCCCTTGGGGACAGTGAGAACCTGAAGGCATGAGAGGCTGCCCGATGGGACTGCCAATTTTGGGTGGGAGGAAGCGTACTGGGAGTTCCCAGAGTCCTTGATCAAAGAGAAAACCAAGTGGAGAAATGAAATGAGAGCCAAGGGTGGAGGGTGCTGGGTCATCAGTGACAGGAAGGAAGAAGAGAGAAGAGGAAAAGCAAAATACGGAGTGTGCTAAATATCACTCCAAAGAGAACCAGGGAGTCCCAATGCTTCCCTAGGAACACACCAGACAGCCATTTATTGAGAGACTACTATATGCCAAGCACTTGCCAGGCACTGGGCATATATCTCAGTAAACAGGACATAGCTCCTTCTCTCAAGGAGCTCACTGCATATTTGAGGAGATAAGAAGGAAGTTCTTTTTCATATTTGTGTGTGAAAAGTTCCATAGTAGATGTAAGAGAAGGCTTCCTGGAAAAAAAAAAAGGGATTTAGGCAGGTGAATAGTGGGGAAGGGAATGAATATTTAAAGGCCAGTCACTTGGCTTCAGGATAAAATCCAAATTCTGTGGCCTGGAATAGAGGCCCTTCATGAGCTGTCTCCAGCTTCTTGGGTCTCAGTTGTTGCCACCATGCCCACACAGTCCACATGAAGCCACACTGGATTACTTGCAATAGTTTGGACATGTACATTCTCTTTCACTTCCAAACCACTGCAAGTGATGGTCACTTTACATAAAATGGTCTCTCCAGGCCCCATCCATGCAATCCTGCTTATTTATCTTGTCTTGGCTCAAATAACATTTCCACTGGGAAGTCTTCCCTTAACCTGACCAAACCCCCTCCCTCAGACTGGTTTGGATGCCTGTATGAGTTTGCTAGGCCTGCCATAATAAAGTACCACAAACTGAGTCATCTGAACAGCAAAAGTTTACTTCCTCACAGTTCTGGAGCCCAGAAGTCCAGGATCGAGTCAGCATTGATTTCTTCTGAGGGCAGTGAGGAAGAATCTGTCCCAGGTCTCTCTCCTAGCTTCTGGTGGTTTGCTGGCAATCTTTGGCATGTCTTGGCTTGCAGACATAGCATTCCAATCTCTGCCTCCATCTTCACATGGAGGTGTCTTCACATGTCTTGGTGTCTAAATTTCCCCTTTTAATAAGGACACCGGTCATATTAAATTGGTACCTACCTTAATGACCTCATTTTAACTTGGGTACCTTTATAAAGACCCTATCCAAATAAGGTCACATGCTGAGGTACTGGGTATTAGGACTCCAAAATATATCTTTCTTTGGGGGACAAAATTCAACCCATAACAATGACTCTCCCCAGTACTGACGTAGGATCCTGTAATTGTCAGAGCATTAATCAACCTGATTATACTTGTCTGTTTACTTGTATGTCTTTTTCACCAAACTGTGAGCTCCATGAAGGCAGAGATGATGCTTTCTTCATTGTCATAACCCTAGTACTTGAAACAAAATCAAGCACACAGTAGGTATTCCATATGTATTTGTCACAGTATAAGTGTCATTCCTTTGATCAGGGGCCACTCCCTTCGCATGTGCTCTGGACCTTGGACCTTCCAACCTTTGCAGGGGCCATAAAACGCTGTATCCCCATGGTCTCCTGCATCTTCAATTTCTCCATTTCTAATCAATTCTTCTTCCTAATGGTATTCAAACATTTTCTATTCTTTCACATTGTAAGAATAAACATCTTCCCTTAAGCTTTCTGTTCCAGCTCTTACCAAATCTATTTCTTTTCAGAGCCAGGCTTCTCCAAAGAATTATCTACACAGTGTTATCTACACTTTTTATTCACTCCTGTATCTCACTCCAGTGTGGCTTCTGCACCCATTGCTCTACCAAAAGTTCTGTTAGTGAGGTCATCAGTATACTCCATGTCATCAGATACAATGAACTCTTTTCTGTCCTCAGCTTGCTCCTCCTCTCAGCAGGCTTTAGTATAGTTTACCAGCCTTTCCTCCCTAAACAATTCTTTCCTCAAAAAAAGAATTTCTCTTCCCTCTACTTGCATGTATGGATTTTCTCTTATCTATCCCTCCTCAGTCTTATTTACTGGTTATTCTTCCTCTATGTGACCTCTAAATGGTGGAATTCCCAGGGCTCCATTCTGAGTTCTCTTCTTCTAAACTGCTTCTCTACATGATTTCACCCATTTCCAGGCTTTTAAATGCCATCTACATGCTGGTGGCTTCTAAATTCATATTTCTAGCTCAGATATCTCTTCTGAGTTTCAGACCAGTATATTTAACTACCTAGTTAACATCCACTGCTATATCAGAATAATGTCATACAAAACTGATCATCATTTGTCTTCTTCCCCAAATGTGGAGCTATTCCAAGGCTCTCCCATCCCAGTGAATGGCCCAAGCACATATTCAACTCACAACCCAGTAACCTGAGAGTTATTACTGATGCCTTCCTCTATAATCCATCACCAAAACCTATCATTTCTACCTCTGAAAATATAGAGCTCAATTCATTTCTCCCCATCTCTGCAACTACTCTCCTACTCCACACTACCATCATCTCTCACTGTGTAACATTTGTAATAGTGCCCTAATTGGCTTCTCAATGTCTATTAGCCCCCAGTACTATTAAAAGTCATTCTGTACATATCAGCCAGAGTGATTTTAAAACATAAAATGGATCATGTCACTCTCCTAAAAACCCTTCAAAGAGTTCCAATCTTACTTACAATGAAATCCAGTGAGACTTTGGAGATCTGGTTCCTGCCTATGTTCCCAGCCCCATCTACCACATTCTTCCCCTTGGTCACCACATTGTAACCACACTAGCCTTTTCTCTGATCCCAAACACTTCAAGGTCTTTATCACTGCAGGACCTTGCTGTGGGCTAATCTCTCTTTTGAAATCCTTCCCTCCCCTACCCCACCTTATTACCTATCTTTGCCTGGCTTATTCCTACTCATCTTTCTGGTCTCTGTTCAAATGCCATATCTTCAGAGAAATCTTTTATGATACTTCCAACCCAATCCAAATTAGTTATCCTTGTTGTATGCCTTCCCAGTAGACTGGTTTTCCTTCACAGCATTTGTCATAGCATCAAATTATGGAGGAATCATCAGTATATAGGTGGTACTTGAGGTGAAGGAAATAATAATCTACTAGGGAAGGAAGACATATAACCATTCAGCTAGTCACTCAGCAAGTATTCCTTGGGTGTCTTCTGTGCCAAGCATTCTTCTAGGCACTGAAGATGCAGTGGCAAACTGCCAGATAATGTGATTACTGCTAAAACATAAGTCCACAATGAGTCCATGGAGATGCAGGAGAGTATC